GTCACTAGCAATCATCTTTTCATTCTTATATAAACGTTTGATAACCAAATCTCTTGGACCAAAGCCTTATAAACCTATGTTAATGATCTGTAGACTGTAGTTATCATATAAATCTTTGATATAAAAAGGTTAATTTGCTAGGTAGCCATTTTTTTTTTGTCAAAACTGGAAAAAAACATTATATGGTGAAAAACTTATAAATAAAGTCTAATCAGGAACTAATCATCATACAATACTCATACGCATTATGAGCTATTCATTATTTATACATGACATTTTCTAAGGTTGCTTAATTTTTTTTAAGGTTATCTCAGTTTCTGGTAAGTAGGTTATGCCCCACGGGTTTAGATTAGTGTAGTTAGAGATTGTGGTAGGGTCAAAACCATTACAATGCGAGACTTTTGTATTGTGAATACAGTCCATCTGTTTATCTATTGTGAATATATTCACAATATTAAGTTAGAAACGGTTTAAAGCCTTTACAGGCCAAGGAGGGACAATATTTTTTTTTGACTAATTGTAGAGTAATCCATATTTGTTTAAACCATGCATGGAGTTGTAGATATTAAATCCGTATATACAATTGTTCATGTTGGAATCATAGAATAAATAATAATACAATCCGAATAGCATAAAATTCCTCGAAATTCAGTTTTTTTACTTTGCCATCAATCAAGATGAAGTAGTAAAAACCTAATTACATGAAAAGAAAACCATAGAGACATAAAAGGCAAAGAGAAAATCTTGGTGGTGGATCTTAGAAGATAAAGCCAATAGGTAAAAGTGGTCCTTGAGGACAATGATGAAGGGGGTGTCCTTATACTGCCTTCAAAGCTTCTATATTAGGCCTTCATATTCACGTGGTCCGTTTAGTTTCTTATATGTTTGTATGGCCAAATTCATGCATGAGTATCTAACCAAATTTTGACTCTTCCTAAAAAATTAGAATCTTAAAACAACTTTTACATGGCCATAATAACATTACGTTGTCTTGTTGGCAAAAAAATTGTGATTTTTTGGTAAAATAAATTGATATATTCTTTTGACCAAAAAAAAAAAATTGATATATTCTTTACTTATAGTGTTATACTTTTGTATTTCAAATGATATAATACTAAAATGTTACTAATAGGTACTTAAAGTGTGACAAATACATGAGGGGATTATAGTTCCTTTTGGAGAAATTTCAAAAAATACCACTTTTCAAGTGCTACTTTACAAAAATGGCACACTTTTGAAATCTTTACAAAAATACCACTTTTTCAAATTTTTTTTTTTATATTATTTATGTTTGGGTTAATTATGTCTATTAGGGTTTAGTTTTGAGTGTTTAGGGAGTTTTAGGTATCAAAACATTTTTTAGGGTTTAGAATTTTAAGATATAGGCTTTATAAATCTATAATTAGTGGCATTTTTGTAAATAAACTTCCCTAAGTGGCATTCTTGCAAATGTACATACAAAAAATGGCATTTTTGTAATTGTCTCATTTTGTAGTA